GGGGGGGGGCTCCAAGTTATCATGAATTTCTTCTCTTCAGATGCATCACTTTCCATGTCAGGAAAACAAGAACCGGCGGGGACAGGAAGAGGCTCTCTCCTGCTCATGTGTTAAAGAAAATGAGGTCTAAGATTTTAATAGGGTTTATCTGTTCCAGGTACTATAGGACAGAGATTATTATGGCCACATTCTGTACTCACACTTCACACATCCAAAAGAAGGGCCAGATTTTGGAATGTTTCCAATGGAATGCCTCTGCCACAGTGGTGAAGCCAGGAGGGGAACAGCAGGAGGAGGGCCCAACCGAGTGTCATCCTCTTCTGGGATGTCTCCCAGTTCAGGCTACATCCCCTGTACTCCCTACTGATGCCACTGTCCATACAGAAAAAGGCAAAAGCAAACTGCTGTAGCTTCTCCAAGATTGTCTTTTCTTCCTCATTAATAATTTCTGCTATGTTGACCACACACTGTTGTTGGTTGGCCTCACGTGTCCTGGTTTGGATCTGTGAAATGTTGGTAGAGTGTGATATTTACTCAGGGATGCATTAAACAAGTCTAGGACAACAGCCACTCTTCCTAGATACCAGCTAGCTGGAAGTGTGGAGAAGATGTCTGGCTTTTGATAACCAAACAAGAGTTTGCTTTCTTGCTTCACGAGCACACTGAACAATAAGAAATGCAAAGTGAAGGAAAGGCCCCTCTAAGCTTTGGCACATCAAGGCCTCCAAGGGTCTGGAAGGCCCTGTCCATGTTATTCAACATTATTCCATTTTTTCCCTGCCTGGGGAGGTTTGCTGGGGCCACCCAAGCTTCCAGGACACAGCTAGCTGTCAGCACTTTAGATAACACTTTGGGAGCCTGCATGGAGCCGCCTGCACAATTGTTTGGGAACATTCAGGATTCGTTAAAGAAATGAATAGCTAACACAGCTTGACACAGCACGAGGGATCAGCAGAGTCAGTCTTGCTGAGAAGGAAGGTATTGCTAATTCAGAGGGAGCGCTCACAGAGCCAGGCACCAGGTGCATTTGGGCCAAGTTGGGCCAAGCTTAGCAGACAGCCCGCAAAATACATGGCTCCTGCGTGCAGCACCCGCCCTCCCCATAGGAGTCTTGCATTGTGGCTGGAACAAACATGCTCAGCAGTTCACCTTAAATCCTCCACACAAATGCTGAGGGCTTAAGGCACCAGGTGAGCTATCTTCCCCAATATTAGGGGCTGGAGAAAACCAGTTATTTTCCTCCTCCTTGTGTAGCCTTGTGTCAGTGAAAAAGCAAGCCGTCTTCTATGCCAGCAGCTGTCAGGAAGCTGAACTGAGAGCCAAATGCTGCCATTTCAAGTACTTTATAGCAGGGAGGGGCAAAGAGTGGGGAAGGTGGCAGCCTAATAGCAGACTCTCAGCTTTCAATCTTCTACTTCTAAAAAGCTGCATTTGCACTCTATTTGGAGTCTCTTGTGGCAGCAGGCTCCAGCTCTTTAAAATCAAATGGTGCTTAAAATTAATTCTGTTAAGTGATGAAAGAATTCTGATTGATGAATAATCTCTCTCGGCTTGTCTAGAGGAACGTTTGTAGACACCTTCCCCTGTGATGCCTGCACTGGTCTTGCTCTGTGTTCTTGTCATTCATGCTCTACCTGGGAACATGCTATGACATCAGGGAAGCTGAATTTGGCACCTTTCAAGCCAAAGGGAGGCAAGGTGCAGTGATACAAGCACCAGAAGACAGGGATGCCTCTGTTACTAGCCAGCATCCATGAAGATAAGAATGGCAAAGAGAATCCCAGAAGCAAATCATGTCTCTTCTAGTCAGATCATTGATGGGCTCAAAATGTAGTACTGTAGATCAAGATGGACAGAAAGTAGGTGCAATTGTTTAATAATAGCAACACAGATAGGCCCTTTCTTTCTAAATTAGGCTGTTCTAATGAAGAAAACTTGAAAGGGGGGGAGTTATGGGTAGACCAATGACTTGAATTGTGGTTGCTGCCACACTGCAGAATTAATGTGGTTTGACACTGCTTTATCTGTCATGGCACCCTCCTATGGAAACGTGGGATCTGTAGTTTATTGTGGCACCAGAGTTCTCTGACAGAAGAGGCTAGATATCTCACAAAATTACAAATATCAGAATTCCACAATATTGAGCCATGGCAGTTAAAGTGATGTCAAACTGCATTATTTCTTCAGTGTAGATTCAGCCTGTAAATTCCATTGTGGTACTGGAAACAAATTCTTGAGGCAACCTATTTCTTACTTCTAAGGGTATATCCACTCTGTAGAGCCACAGTTTTACATCTGGCCCTGGCTGGTGGGTTTGGGATTCTAATTTTTTGAAAAACAGATCAGAGCCTAGAAGTACAACGTCTGCCCATATCTGTAGATCTGAAACCCTTTTGTCAGTCTTAGAAGTCTTTCTTCATTCTGATTGCTTTCTTCTCCTTGAATCTTTTACCAGCAAGAAGGTGGTAGTATGGTAAGCAGATCATGTTAGCCTCACCAAAACTTCCATTTCCACTTTAACCTAAGCCTTAGTACAGCAAGAATTCTTTCAAAAATATAGGGAGATTTATAGGAATTCATTTGGTCCTTCACTCTCCCCATGAGATATAATATGTAACCTTTGTATGAAGTTGACGTGGGAACATTAGTTTTCTTATTATGATATTATGTGTCAGCATAAGATTTCTGCCATTTCACATCATAAGCCTTTTACAACCGCTAGAAAAGATTTCTTCACAGTATCTCTGATGTGCTGAAGGAGGAAAGAGTATTGAAAAGGAATCCTAAAACTTTGTAGAGAAGCATCTTACAACTTGGTCCTCTCCCGATATATTAGACTACACTTCCCATCACCTACAGTGAGGGTGGGTATTTGGAAGAAACCAGCGTGGTGTGCTGGAGTTATGAACAATACATCTGGAGGCGGCCTGGTTAGGAAGGA